GGTGTATTTGTATTCTTCTTGATAGTACCAGAATATTCTGTCTGTGGCTTGTAACCGAACTGTTACGGGATCACTGTATCAGTTACGTGACAGCTTCAGTCCGTGAAAAGGACAATGCTGATCTAACCTATCGTGTGTGCCTGGTGGAGATATTCTTACAGTCCCTGCTATCGTTCTCCCTTTGCTAGGAAATCCCAAGTTGATCCTTTATTGAAAATGCATGAGAATGTAAAAACATATTTCCAGCCTACCTCCCCTCAAATACTGAATTGTATCAAATCCAGCAATCTTTTTCTCCCAATTAAAACGCGTCAGCATCCTCCTTTACCACTTTTTCACCTTCGCTTCATCACATTTTGCATACCTGCAATAACCTTTAGCTTCTGCATCTTATGTCTTGACTGAAATAGAGATTCATGGGGAGCGATTTGGGGATGAGTTAAAGCAAATGTCTTGTGTCCCTGTACTTGACTTCACTAGGGCATACAGAGATTTGGGGGTACAATAAATATTGTTTCTGCCTCAGCTATGAAAGTCCTCATCCCTCCAAATGATGGAAGTAATTTTTTTTTTTACTTTTTATTAGAGGTTTTGACAAGAGACCTGACACTAATTATTTCTCTACAGCCTGAGAACTGTCTGTAGACCTCCCCTTACAAGGTGAAGTCTCTCTTCCTCTGGCAATTTACCTGGTTTTTGAGTTTCCTGGGGAAAAGAGACCGGATTCTTACGCTGTTCTGTGCACCCTTCGCGTTTCACATCTTGGGATTTCTCACAGAATTGAGAGAACACGAGTGCTGAGTGGAGCAGAGTGCGTATCCGAGTTAGAAATGAACATATTGCTGGGGAACAGAGTGGTTACATAGTTCTTTCTCTCTTTACTGCCTGTCAGGGATTTTACCATAGTTCAATACACCCAGTAAGAGACTTCAAACGTGGTCTTTCAGAGCCTTAACTTTGCTGTGATGTGATAAATGCAAATTTCACATTGAAAATTGAAGTATTCTCTCTTGCGTTGTGCAGAGCTGATCCTTAGACCTAAGCATTACAAAAAGTATGTATTTTAATATATTGGAAAAGTCTTTAAACACTTGCACAAATTAAAAGGAAGGGAAGCGAAAGACCTAAATTTGCTGTGTGTACGTCATTTTGAGGGAAGGGTTTTTTTCGCAAAAAATAATGTTTGTTAATTATATTTTAAGGTAGCAAAGATGAATTTGAGGCCCTTGGGGGGCTCTTTGATCTATATTATAACGCTGGAAGGGCAGTAATGTTACTTACTAAAATTATTAAAATAGCATCAAAATTCTGCTGGTAGATATCTATTTCAAATTGGGTATAATCAACAAGTTTTTAAAGTCTAAAGCTTCAAATGAGATGGAAAGGCTTTTTGGAGAAACTCCTTGCAGTGAGAGCACCACAGTCATCTTGTGGCTTCTTGGCTCAGGAGAAAGTAGTCAATGCGTCGTCATAACTGGAAAAAAAACGCTGAGGGATTTTGTGTAAGATGAAGGGGCCGGTTTCTCAGGGACATGACGGAAATCATCCGGCAAGTGCGGCATAGCAGTGCCTTGCATAAATGTTCACTTTGCCTGGCGGAAAAGGACCTGGGGGTGCTGGTCGACAGCCGGCTGAACATGAGCCGGCAGTGTGCCCAGGCGGCCAAGAAGGCCAAGGGCATCCTGGCCTGTATCAGAAATGGTGTGGCCAGCAGGAGCAGGGCAGTGATCGTGCCCCTGTACTCGGCCCTGGTGAGGCCGCACCTCGAATACTGTGTTCAGTTTTGGGCCCCTCACTGCAAGAAGGACGTCGAGGGGCTGGAGCGTGTCCAGAGAAGGGCAACGAGGCTGGTGAGGGGTCTGGAGAACAAGTCTGCTGAGGAGCGGCTGAGGGAGCTGGGGTTGTTCAGCCTGGAGAAAAGGAGGCTGAGGGGAGACCTCATGGCTCTCTACAACCACCTGAAAGGAGGCTGTAGCGAGGGGGGGGTCGGTCTCTTCTCCCAAGTAACTGGCGAAAGGACGAGAGGAAATGGCCTCAAGTTGGGCCAGGGGAGGTTTAGATTGGACGTGAGGAAAAATGTCTTTACTGAAAGAGTGGTTAAAGATTGGGACAGGCTGCCCAGGGAAGTGGTGGAGTCCCCATCCCTGGAGGTATTTAAAAGACGTGTAGATGAGGCGCTGAGGGACATGGTTTAGTGGGCATGGGGGTGTTGGGTCAACGGTTGGACTCGATGATCTTAGAGGACTTTTCCAACCGTAATGATTCTATGATTCTGTGATTCTACAAGCCTTCTGACAGTCCTGAAACGAAAGGTGTTGGGAAACTTGCAGCCCATGTGGGATTTCATGCTTAATCCATTTATGCAAGCTCATCTGCGGTGCGCAGTAAGGAAGGGACCCAAGCAGAGATGGCAATCGAGCTCTTCCCAGCTGGGAACTTACTGGGCTGTGCAGTGGCCCCTCCAGACCCAGGGCTGGTTCTGTCCCATGGTCCCAGCGGTGGGAGCTGGCGTCTGCCCAGCCGGCACGGGCTCTGTCTTGCCACCTTCTAACACAAAACACATGCACGTGAATCAAGGAGTACATGAAAGAGCTGGAAACAGAGCACGGCCGCATTGGCTGCTGCCTCCAGTGTCAGCAATAGCTTCCCCTGCAGGAAAGCTGCTTCCAGCCCTGCGCCAAAGCTGCCAGGTGCCTGTGGATGGAGGGATGGAGGGGGAGAGATCCGGTCCCTGCGCAGGTTGGTCCTGCACAGCATCAATTGCTTCTGTGCTTCAGTTCACTCCCCTACAAAATGCATCCAATGTTTATTTGCCTGTGGTGGTCTATGGCATTTCGTTTGTCTTAAAGTATTTTAAAATTCCTATACGAAAGAAGGCTATTCACAGTAAACTTCTTTTGTCATCTTTAAAATGTCTGGTCGTTGGCTTTTCCACATCCGCTCATTTTGGAAAACGACAGGGTGCGATTCCCGTCCGTTTTAAACTCTCCTCACTGCTGTGACTTCCTGGTGCCAGGACACCCCTCCGTGCCGTGCTCGTCATGAGCCTGACGTGCGAGTGAGAAGCTCGTTTCGGGGAGTCCTGCTTGTGCTCGCCGGGCCGCCACGACCCGTTTGTCCCGTGGGCACGCAGGTACTGCTGCAAGGATCCGGCAGCGAGGACTCGCCTCGCTAACGTGTTTTTCTTGGGAAAGTGGGTGCTGCTTTGGGTGCAGCCCATCTCGTGCATGCGGAGTTGAGGTGTCCTCCAGACCAGATGCAGGGCACAGGAAGGGATGTTGCATTGATTTGGGGAAAACAGCATTTCTGACTCCTTTTAGAGTAATTGTGAGATTGTGTTACAGCACATCGTTGGCAATTCCTCTAAGAAAGGGTCCTTCCATGACTGCAGCCTGTTGACAGCTCTCTGGCTGCTGTCGCCTCTGAATCCAGAGATGACCTGGCTGTCCCCAGCCCGCCAAAGCCACTCTGTGCTCTCAGGGCTGGCAGCGAGGGGAGGGGGCAGGTTGTGTATGTACATTTCTGTGTTTAAACCCCCCCTGCTTCTGCTTCAGGTGAAGCAAAGAGGTTTTCTGATTGTGCCTGTAATGGCTCTTTCGCTTCCCCTGTAAGCTGCCAACCTAAATTCTCCCGTCGTTCTTGTCCCAGATGGACAAGTACCATCGGACGGAGCCGGTCAAGTGGAACAGCTGGGGGCTGCTGGAGCTGGCACAGCGTTTGCTCTTGGATAAGCACCCCTTCACATGCTCAGGCTTCTCTTTATACATTTACATGAACCCTAATGTAAAAGCCTCTGGGACTTCAGTGTGTTTTAGAGGAGCCTGTGCTGGGAAGCGGTGTTGGGTCACTGGTGTTGTCAGTGCTGTATGGAGCGGCTGAGCACCCCCCATGCTGCTGGGAATTGCATGTTTCCCTCTGATGCATGTAGACCTTGATAGGAAATCGGCGTGCCTAGGATACAACCGGTAGTACTGGTAGCAAAAAGAAATCAGAACTGTGTGAAGTGCAAGGAGAAGGTTGTGCTTGGGGGTTTGCAACGTGTGGGGTCATAGAATCGTAGAATGGTTTTGTGTTGGAAGGGACCTTCAAAAACCACCTAGTCCAACCCCCCTGCCGTGGGCAGGGACATCTTCAACTCGATCAGGTTGCTCAGAGCCCCGTCCAGCCTGACCTGGAATGTTTCCAGGGATGGGGCATCCACCACCTCTCTGGGCAACCTGGGCCAGTGCTTCACCACCCTCAGCGTAAAACATTTCTTCCTTATATCTAGTCTGAATCTACCTTCTTTTAGTTTAAAACGAGTAGATACTGAACGTTTAGTCGCAGCTAGCTCTTTCTCATTTTTAGCTTTCTCAGTGCATACTTGTTTGAGGATTTGCTAATTAGTAAGCAGTAAAAAAATTCTGCTTGAATCATCTTTTTGGTTTTTGTTTAGCACTTAAACCCCCACTTATTTACTTGCGTTCTCTCACATGCATCCACACTTTTTTTAAGTAACTGTGTTTTGCTAACTGTTGAAAAAGGGGGTTTCCACATTGAGTTGTAATTCTGATGGAAAGTTTTGCAACTTGGCAGTTTGATACTTGATCTGCCCCATCTCTATGATCACAGTCATATTTTTTCAACAAAGTTATTTTCTTACATCTTACATCTCTTACACCTTCATACTCAATGCTATCTGTATTGTCCTAAAAGGGCACAGCTGTTCTGGGGGTTCTCTCCTGTATCATGTATTGCCAGGCAAATTACATCTATAAGATTTTTAATTTCATCTTCCCCTTTTTTTTTTTTTGCTTCCCCGTTCAAATTGAATAAATATTGTCAAGCTTCTTTTTTTCTCCCCTGAAATATTGATGTAGCTTATCTTTTCCCTTTGTGAAACCTGGGCCACAATTCCTTCTAAAGTTAAGTTCTCATATCCAGCTCTGGTGCGGGCGAAGCATTACGGAGTTAATTCGCATGTTCTTTTGAATTCAGCAGTATCTCTGGTTCTCTTCCAGTAACTCGTCACAACCACCTGAAGGACTTCATGCTGGTGGTGTCCATCGTCATCGGCGTGGGTGGCTGCTGGTTTGCCTACATCCAGAATCGCTATTCAAAGGAGCACATGAAGAAGATGATGAAAGACCTCGAGGGACTCCACAGAGCTGAACAGTCTCTCCATGACCTTCAAGAAAGGTAGGTTTTATGCATCCACCCAATTGGAGCATTCAACCGTTGATCTTCCCTGCAAGGTCATTCCTCATTTAGATTTCAGGAAAGATCTTCTTTTTAGCTGTTGTGCTTCTGTGCAGCAGTCACCTGGTGCTGTGTACCAGAGTCGGCACCTCCCTGAGCGACCGCAGCAAACCTGCCAACCCGTCTTAACAGCTCGAATGGGTGCCTGGCTTGTTACCAGGCTACACGTAAAGATGTGTGCGTGCTCACTTGACCTGCTCTTTGGTGGTGACGTGCTAGTTATTTGTACTTGAGGTGTGCCACGTGAAGGCCTGGGTGGTAAAAACTCCCTCGCCTTACTACCATCCTGAAACGTGGCACTGAAGCCACTTGAGCAAAGTGACAGCGTCCGACACCAGCATCTCCCGCTCCGAGGTGGGCTCCAGTGCACGCTGACGCGTAGTCGAGCACGGCCGTATGTGCTCCCGTGCAGTTTTGTTTCCTTTCCGCGCTGTTTTTATGTTGTGTTTTGCCTGTTTAGTTCTGGTTCTGCTCTAATGGTCATTACTGGTTCAAAAAAATAGTTTCTGAATTTCTGGGAAGACTTGACTCCGTTTAGTTTTGCTGCTGTTGGCGTGTGAGAGCTCTTCTCCTTGCACTCAGAACTTCGCTGCTTTAAGGAGCAAAATGTCCAACTGAGCAAAATGGATGGGAGCGCTCCTTCTGTACTTGGCAGTGGTCGCTCTTTGTTTTGAGTGTGTTGTCTTATTTCAGATAGGTACTTGCTATTTATTTACCACATTTAATTATATAGGAGCAGTGAAATCTACAGTGGTTTCTACTCCCAGGCTGACTCATACTGAAAGTATATCAGGATCCCCACCCCCCAAAATTACAGCGTAAATCTGGTACCCAGAGGGGAAGAAGAGCCTCTTAAAGGAGTGTAAGGTAATCCAGCCCACTTAGAATTTGTCATCCAGGCTGATCAGGTTGTTTCACCCTGGCTTTTGATGGGGAAAAAGCATGCTGAAACAGTGGAAGCAATCAGAGGAATTACAACCCTCTTGAATTCTTGGAGCTGTATGTAAAAGTCTGTGCTTCCCCGCCTGCACAGTGATACCTAAATCCAGGAGTGTTGCCTGGGAAGAATGAAAAAAATAATTTTGTAGTATTACATATGAATAGTTGAACTCTAGGCACTTGGGCAAAATACTGTAGCTTCAGGAATGTGACCTCTACTCACAGAAATGATTGTAATGGTTCCAATTAAATTACTCATTGGAGAACGGGCTGCAAAAGAGGCTCTCTGTGGACACCGGAGTCTTCTAGGAAAGAAAAGAGCATTCAAGGCTGTTGATGACAAACCAGTGGGGTTTTTCGGCAATAAGATTTTTTTTTTTAAGGGCAGAGTTAGTGAATAACAGAGCATGATAGTCATGGACTGTAACTATTTTTCATTAGTTTTAAGTGTAATTTTGGAGGATAAGCCTTAATTGGCTGCCATATAAGCTGACGGCTACATTCCCAGTGGCTTCTCCAAAAGCAGAGCCCGGCCCCCGGTAGACATGCTGGCGGCTCACAGGTGGTGTGACAAGTGACCTGTGCAAACACCAGGATCCGAGGATGTCAATCTGCCGTGGAGACTTTTGCAAATAGCCGAGTCTTCGGAAACCATACGACGTACCCACAAGACTGCAGCCTGATTTCTTGTCTACGTGCTCATGACAGCCTTCAGGGAATTGTCCCACACGTGAGCGTTGCTCAAAAGCCTTTCTTCTTTGAGTGTGATTGCATCAGTTGGTGTCGATGTGGAGGGCAAACACTTGAGAGAGTACCAAGGTGATGGTGCCAAACTGGGCATGTTCTCCTGGCAGTGATGCAGATATGTGACCTGCTTTCTTTTTGGCATAGAGATAGAATAAAGTGCATTTCGACTCTGCCTACCATGGAGCTGTCTCCAATCCACAGCTGGTTTCACAGAGCTTTGTGTAATTTTACATTACAGGTTGGAAATACCCCAAAGAAAAAGATTTTTTTTTTCTACAGCCAGAAGGACACGGGAATTCCTTCTCAATGTCCATCCACTGGAGCAGCAGAGCGTCCAGGGCAGGAGGTCTCTGCTGGGTGTCACTGAAGAGCAGGTCACACCAGAGGTCCAAATGTCGGCTGCTGTGAATGTGCCGTGTGGGGAACAACCTTGGGATCTGCTGCCGAGGGCAGAGCCACGTCAATAAGTAGATGTGCCTGGGAAGTTCCACTAATGCTCTAAAGCCAGATAGGAAGAAACACAAAACCACGTATACTAAGCATAGCTTGAGTCTTAACCCAGAGCAGCTTGTGATGCTTCTGCAGGATGTGCAGCTGGCAGGGCTTGTCCTCTGCAGAGGGCACTGAGCTAGAGCTCAACAAGTAGGAGGTGAATTCCTGGCACTTGTGGGGCCTCTTGGCACAGGATTGATCTAATTCTCCTCTGAAGAGGGGAATGCGCCTTTGCTTCTTCATTCTTGCACCCCAGCAAGGTTCAGCTGTGGTTCTCAGCTACTGTAGAAACAGCAAAAACTACCAACAGCATGTTCCCATGGACTTGTTCTGAAGTTCTGCTCAGAAACTTCTTTTCTAGAAGTTCTTGTTTTCTAGAAGTTTCTTCTAGAAACTTCTTTTCTAGAAGTTTCTCTCTAGACCTTGAAGTAACCTCCTTTCCTGGCTCATTGAAACTCACTGCTGAACAGACCTCCAGAAGGCATGTGATACCTTCCAGTTGCCTACCAACTGCCAGCGCTGTTGCTTGATGAACAACTCTGATACGCTCTTAAAGAGTTGGGAAGGGGAAGATTGATATAAAAAGCCATTTGAGTCACCATCCCTGGAGGTATTTAAAAGACGTGTAGATGTGGCGCTTAGGGACATGGTTTAGTGGTGGACTTGGCAGTGTTAGGTTTACGGTCGGACTCAATGATCTTACAGGTCTTTTCCAACCTAAATGATCCTGTGATTCTATAAGCCATTTTTTGTTCATCTTCAAAATACCTTTTGTGAACATCCTTCAACAGTGACACTTTCCAGTCAATTAAATGACCCATCAAGATGAAAAAGTTCATGTCTTAGTACATCCTACTGATGACTGAAAATTGTATGAAGATCTGTATTGAAGATCTACTGATTGTATTGAAGATCTGCTCCTGAATTGTGAAGCCCCCAGATGGGTCTCGATTTCTTGCCCTCATTACAAGTGCAGCTCTGAAGGCACTTTGTCATCTCGTGGAGCTCAGTGCACGTGAAACCAGTGTGGCTCAATCAGCTGGGTTTGAACGGGAACGCACAGACCAAACGTGGTTTTGTCCGTAACCAACATAAGAAAATATGGGCTCTGCTGTGAGGAAAAAAAATGGTAGTAAGGGAAAATACGATGTTGGAGTGCCTTTGAGAATTAGCTTAAGGATAAAATTCCTTCCCATTCTGCATCATAGTACAGGGGAATTTCTCCTTTAAACAGAGATATTTTGGTGGTTTGGGATTCTTATGGCCTTAGTATGGAAGAGCTCTGGCACTGATGCACAGGGCAGAGAGCATGGGTTTATCTAAAAACTTGGAATGTCTTGGCAAGAGTCTCTTTAAATTGGGGAAAAAAAACACTTGAGTTTCCCAACAGAGCTGTAAATTGAAAATGAGCCTTTTCCAAGAAGAGAGCTAATATCATGGCTGATGAGAGTCCAGCCTGTCCAATCTGTTTTAATGGCCACCTGCATGCCGAGGAGGAGCCTGAGGAAGAGGAGTCCTTGGCTGGGACAGCGAGCGGCTTCGCTCTGGACCCAAAAGGTAGCGATGGGTCCCTGCCGCGAGTCTGCGCGTGGGCTTGTGCTCCATCTCGCCAGGAGCACAGCCAAATGCTGTCCTTCAGTACAAGGCTGGAAGATGGACTCCTCTTGCGTGTGCTGCAGGGAGCAGCGTTTGTAGCGACTGAGGATCAGTTTTTTCCTTTCTGTTAGTCCCCAGCTGGTCCGGGATGAGCGGGAGCCGCTCGGGGAGCCCAGGAGTGCCCTCCTGAGATCTGTTACTTGTCATCTGCAGGACGGGTACAGCACACCCAGAGCCAGACCTCGCTGTCCCCTCTCATCTATCTCCCCACACATTGCTCTGTTGGTTTGCTCTCCAGTTTGAATGTTGAAGATCTTGAGTGGGAGAAGATTTTTATGACCTTGAAATACTTTTTCCTGGCTAAGATGATTCCGTTTGGGGTTTTAGGATGTTTTTTTTTTTCATTTCATTGTATGGATAGTTATATTTGGTCACTGAAAATCTATCTGCTGTAAGCCACTGCTGGTTTTGCTGGTTAAGCTGATGCCTTGCTAACCTCACAAACGTTGCTGGTACCTTCAGCGTAGGTGAGCACTTTATCCAAGATCCCACCGATCCATAGAGAAGCTGCCTGGGCAGGGCAAGAGGTGCATGCAGGGAGAGGGGGCTGGTTTGGGTGGGGAGCGGAGCTTTGCTTCTCATGGCAGAAAACAGGAGTTTCCTCAGTTTGGTCTGGGTTAAAAATAGCATTGCCCCTGCTGCTCCTACAGTATGGTCTTGTCCAACTTTTATTGATTTATCTCAAACTGTGATAACTGAGACTTTTGAAAGAGGAGTTCATGGTTAAAAGGTGGGACTGTTAGATTGATGCACCTGGTTTCTGACAGCGTAAGCCACGACACTTCATTGTGTTCGATCCAGTAGCTGAAGTACGTGTTCTGGAAACTCGTCACATCTTGATTTGAAGTTATCCAAAGATGGATGTACCACATTCCTCAGAAATTTGATCCGAGGTTTAATTGTTGCCATAATTTAAAAAAAAGTATTTTTCATTTGAATCATTTGGCTGGTTCTCGCGAAGGAAGAAGCCCTTTAATACTCTCATTTCTTTCATTGGTAGTACTTGTTCAACATGATTTTTTCAGAACCTTCATTATGAAGTGAACCTCTTCATTTCATTTCAACCGAATATTTGCCAAATCTCTTTTTTTTTACCCTTTTTCTTGGCAATCGCTGTGTCTCTAGAAGCACATGGGTTTGGGACTGTATTTAAAAGAGGCACTGCTGGCATTAGAGGTTGGTTGGGTGGCAACAACCAGAGACTTTACCACCCCTTTCCAGGACAGCTCAGTCCCGCGTGGGCCAGGTTTATTCTTGACGCTAATTTGATTTCACTGAACTTGTGCGAGGATTGGGTTTACACTAGTGCAACTCCCCTGAAATGCAAACGTCGCAGAAACCCTGAAATATCTCGCTGCGGCTGCGGTGGTGTCTCCTTCAGAGGGCTGAGGCTTTCCAGGCTGAATGGTTGAACCTTCCTGAATGGGTACAAGTAATCTGCTATTACTTTTTGTTGCCATATATAATTTCTACTGATTTAATTCTGTCATGAGGAAAAATAATAACTTCCAGGCAAGATTAAGACATGTCTAAATTTGAAGGCTTTCGCAAGGGGAACACGGAGACATCCTCTCTTGGTGGTCATACCTGCTCAGGCAGATCTTCCCCTCCTTTTTTTTTTTAATAAAGGCAAAGGACTTCACTTTTGTAAGAACACTGAAAATTCAAATTAATTTGAGGCTTATTAAAGGAAATCTTATTGTGCTTTGGAAAATCAAGAAAATATGTACTGAGTATTTAATGAATGAAATAAAGTAGAGACTGTGGAGTTGGTAATTTAATTTCTTCTCGGGCACAGTGAACTTTCTCCTTGACTTTCCAAATACAGATCTCTGTTGACCTCAACATAGAATAAATAAGAGCAGGGTTGGTCTAGATTGTGGCTGCCCAGCAGTTGCACTGTAGACTCCTTCAGCTGTGTACAGATAGCCCGACACCCACAGCACTGGGGTCTTGGTCTCTGTGTGTTGCAGACTGCAGAAGGCTCAGGAGGAGCATCGCTCTGTGGAGGTGGAAAAGGTGCACCTGGAGAAGAAACTTCAAGATGAGATCAGCATTGCCAAGCAGGAGGCACACCGGCTCCGAGAACTGCGGGAGGGCACAGAGAATGAACTGAGCAGGCAGAAATACGCTGAGCAAGAACTGGAGCAGGTAAGGGTTCAGCCAGATGGATGCGCTTACATACGAGACGCGCCAGCGAGAACAGTAGGCAGTTCCTCACTCTGCTTCATCCTTCTGAGAAATCCGGTGATGTTCCGCTTATAATGCTCTTCCGCCTTTGCTTTTCCACCCCCCTTTGTGGAGGAAAAGATCCAAGTATTTCTCCCACCACTCCACGTTACACGTCCCCCATAGTCTACAACAGTGCTGCTTGTGCCTTGGGTAGCAGGGACCGTGCCGGTGCTGTCTCAAGAGTGATGTGCTGCTATCACACGCCGTCCCAGCTTGCCCTCCAGGAGAGGTGTTGAACTTGACCTGTAGCTGCACCCCTCTGATGACTTCTAACTCCCACTCCAAACCATAAGCTCTTTCTTTTTTTTTCTTCTATCTATTCATGGTTTTAGGAGAGATTTGGAATGAGTTTGGTTGTGCTTGCCATGTTTTCTTGTGGATCAGAGAGGTGTACGAAGGAGACTTCCTTCCAAGGAAATTTAGCACTAGATTACAGTCTGTACAGCAAAGTTAGAGTTCGTATGCGATTCTCAAAAACATTAGTTTTAAGTTTAGACTAGCAGGAAAATAGTCCCCAAGTTACATATCGTAACGGAGGCCTAGACGGAATATTGCTGCTGCTGGCAAAAATGAAACGCGTTTGGTCCAGAAGGATACACAGAGCATTTGTAAAACATGTTGTAGGTCAGAAAAAGCATTCCCAATCCTACATCTAAAAACCCCGAGACCTATAACGAAAGCTATAGGGAAATAATGGAAATCAAAGACATTGCTCACGGCACCTGCCTGCAGTAACAGAGGGCAAAGAGCGAGCATCTGGGAATTTTACCTCAAAACTGCCCTTTGCCCAAACCTACAAGAGAGATCCAAAACCACAATTCCAGTTGCTGCTTCCTATCTCACCTGAGGGACAATTCTCATCTGACTTCAATTTATAGATTAGTTTAAACTGAAATTGTGTGAGCCAGAATTGCATGAGCCAAGCAAATACCTTGGATATTCTGAGGCCATCAGCATATCCTCCCAGCCTGACTGCGCCCAGTCTTTTATGCCACCATGGAGGAGGGGGAAGAAAACAAGACAAGAATCTGGGGTCTCCACTGACAAGGGAGAAACAAGTGTCCTGGACCATCAGGTAGCCAGGGAACCATGGGGCAGCGCAGCCTGGGTATGCAAATAGTCAGCAAACAGCAAATTTCCTTCCTGCTTGGAATACCAGGAGCCCAGACACCTGCAGGCGCCTGTTACCAGCTTTGCTCTTGTGACCCAACATCATTCCTCCTAACCGGTCATCCAGCCTCTCCACAAAGTCACTGAGCTCTGTTTCAGGACATGCATTGGGGCGTCTGTATTCACGCACACAGAAGTTCAGCCGTTTTGTATTGTTGGCCATTAAATAAGGATGTATAGCCTTCCTCTTGTAACCCCGAGCCCATGTACCCGACCTGCTCCTGGCTTTTGGAGAAGGCAGGGTCTCATCCATTCCGCTTCCCCCTCCACTTTACATTTGTTAAGAAACCCGAAAAACCAGAGGTGACTTAACCGCTCTGTTGTTTCTTAGAGGCCTTCGGGAGGGATGCATTGACAGGGTGAGTATTGGTTTTACCCACCTGACCCGCACTGTGTGATTATAACACGATCACCGTCCCAGCGAGCTGTAGACCACAGATAACATTAACCAGTCACTCCCGCTGACCATAAAACTCATCTGATTTTTAGATTCTTGGGTCCCAGGGTATATTAAAACAAGACCTTCTTTTGCACCAGTTGATTCTTATCACTAAAATGATACTGGAGGATTCGGAAGCTCCTGCTGGAGTCGGGCGTATGAGACGGAGAAGCAGTGTATTTCTGGGATGGGACTCTCCCATACTGGGTTGGTCATACCGACCCTCTCTCCTTGCTAGGTCATCCTGCCCCAGACCATGGACCCAGCTGGGGCTGCAGACACAGAGGGCATTCCTCGCTTTATAAATTGTTGCTCTTAGTGGTCAAAATGGGATCTTAGAAATCTTCACAGGAGAATGTAGACACGCAAAGTGACTCCTATTTGTACTGATTCCCCTGCAGAACCGAGAGGGTTTGTGTTTTGGACACTGCTGTATGATGGCTCATCTCAACCACTGGTCCTTGGCTGTTGTTCTGCACTGCTTCCCTTTTCCACTATTCCATAAAAACGTTGTTCCTGTAAATGTTTTGAGCACTCCTCTACCCCAGATACTTAGTGGCAGATTTCCTGCCCGCTTATTCTCCGTATTCCTAAATCCCAGACGCTTGCGGATCATGGTCAGAGCAGCACCTGGTGCCGCTGGTGTCAGAGGGGGAAAAACAGACCTTCCTGGGGTCTGTGATTCTGAATTTGTAACTTCTTGAATGATTTAGGCAATGTTATGCTCAACAAGACTAAATCACACGTAAGTGATATAAGTAGCTGACCTCTTCTGTGCAGTGCCTCCTGGCTACTTCTAGATGGACTGTGTAAGTGTACTCCAGGATAAAATACGGGATTTCAAATATCTGTGTGTAACCTGGTGCTTTTGGCTCGCTAGAGATTACGCCTGTGCCAGACTTGGTGAGACATGACTGAGTTAAATAACGCGTTAAGGGAAAAGATCCAAGTTTGAGCAATCTTTTAAAAAAATGCTTCTCTTCAGTCTGCTTGCGGCTGTGCTCTGTGGGAAACGAAGAGGCACCGGCACCAGGCAAGGGTGGGTGTAAACACGGTTGTGGGAAGCGTGTGTTGGGCATTGGGAAGGGTCTGGTGCAGAGCCCAAGCAGGTCGCTGGATACTCCCACTGCCTCTGTGCTTCTTAGACCTGGGCCCTAAAGAACAGAAAATGGGGCAGACATCATCCAGGCATCATCCCAGTGACACGTGTGTGGCCCTGACTGCGCAGCTGGCCGTGCCATAGCCGGACCTTTCCTCCCAGCTCCAGCTCTGTTAGGAGAAGGTCTGCGTTGATGGGCCAGGGCTTGCTGGGCCAGTGAAAGCTCTTGAAGGTCCTTAGGGTTGGCTTTTATTTTAACAGCAAGAAAGTCTGTTGTAGAGTGTATAACCACGTGTAACCCTCCTGAGCTTCGAGGTGCTGTGGTTGAAGAGTATTCCAGTCCACCACCGCTGTGGTGTCCCTGGATCGCAGCATCTCTGAGCTGCAGTCACCATCCTTGGGTTTCTCCAGTGTGGAACACGTTAACTTCTTGCAGGGCTCGGGTCAGGCTTCAGGTTTATTAAAGTCCCTCCACATCATGTGTAATGGAAGAGAAATGTTAATTCTTGATGGTCTCTAGCACTAAATGCTTTTATGTAAGGTTTTGGTATCTTCAACTTGCTTGTCACCCACTTTCTTCTAATTTTGTAATCGCTCCTATCTCCAGCAAGATAAGTAAGTGTGTGGAGGAGACTGAGCTGGGATGGAAGGAGAGTCCCCAGCAAGCTACAGAAACTGCCAATTCCAGACGTGTTATTTCTTTTCCTGACCAAGAAGCACATGTTTTGTGTCTAAATATTTTTATCATCTTGCTCCAGTGTGAAAGTTGTCTCTTGACAAGCTCCCTCTGTTTGGCTCAGTAGCTGCAGAGAAAAAAGGCGATTGCCTGCACAGTGTTGTCAGCGATTCCGCCTCAGGAGAATCTGTGGGTTTTGCAGACCTGCAGGCAGGCAGCAAACTTTGCAGAGATTTCTGGAGGCTAAGATAAGCGCCCTGAATATCCTTACCTAAAGCCTAATTCTCTTTTAACTAACTTGTGCGTCGTGCCATCAGCTCTGGAGGGTTTACATGCAGTTTACGCAGTTGTGAGGCAGAGGAGCTCCCCTGAAGAGGTAGACCAGGTCAGCTCTGCTTGTCCTCCCTGAGAGCTGTGCTGAGGCAGGAATAGCATCGCGATGGCTGGAAATTTTTGAGGAAGGAGCTCACCTTTAAGATAAAGAAAAGCACTGTAGGGTGTTCTGGTCACCCGAGCAGCAGCCTTGTCTGTCGGATGGCTGCCCTGCTGCGCTCCTCTCTCCCACTTGCCCACAGTACCAGGATGCCACCTCTCCTCCTAATGACCTCTGCTTCTGTCATGAGTAAGATTAAGTTGCGTGGAGTCTTTTTTTCTATTTTCTGGTGCCTTAAAAGTGCCGGGTTGGCAGCCAGTGGTTGGGATGACCTTGCGGGAGGGCAGGCTGTCCCCGCCGCCGCTGCAACCGCGCGCCGCGCCGGT